GGACGGGATCTTGAGGTCGGCTCGGCTACACCTGAAAGGAACCGAGGCTGAGTTGGGTTGTCGGTGCCAGCCTTGATCCAATGTCCACGCTGATAGTCGGCGGTCAGCGGCGACGGAAGTGATTTAGCCAGATCGTTACATGCCCAGTCTGCGATTTGTACTCCACGGCAAAAGGGGTTGAGCGATTTCCGGTATGCGTGATAAAGCAGTCGGACAGCTGTCGAGTGTTGCTGCGTTCTTGGCACCATCCCCATGATCACTTCTGTCGCACATTATTCGTCACTCTTTGTACTATTCAACCAGTCAGATCGTGCCAGTATTCTCTGACTGGCGAAACGGCCATCATCATTCTTTGTCGAGTTTTCAAGACATGGTGATGTACAACCAAAGAGTTGCATTGCCATAACTACCACAAAGTTCAGCGTCTCTTGTGTTTGCAATTTTCACGATCTAGGCTCAGCCACATCGGATCAGCCTCTTCCGTACTTTTCATGCAACAGCACAGCTCAACGAGACAGCTTCCTCGCAGATTGCAACACATTCCAACTTCAACATGACTCGCAGACGTATGTACTATGCTGCATTCACATGTCCCTCGTCATCCGCGGACAGCTCCCACGTGTGGCTGTACGGCGACTCCGCGTAGCCAAGCTGTGTTGAGGTCGTCGTCGGCACCGTGCAAAGCGGCGACTTTCTTCACGCACAAGCACTCGACATTCACATCACACAGCCTCATATTGTATCGTGTCGATAATTCATTCCAAAACAAAAAAAAAAAAAAAAAAAAAAAAAAAAAAAAAAAAAAAAAAAAAAAAAAAAAAAAAAAAAAAAAAAAAAAAAAAAAAAAGAGTTCAGGTCGAGGTGAAAGGGGGTGAGGGAAAGGAAGAGTAAAGCCGGATCGCATCAGATGGGTAGAATACAGTGTGGAGAGGTGCACCGGCGGCAGTAGTTTACATGTTGGTCAGCGCACAACAGTGGGGAAGGTAAGCAGGATAAGTTAGACATGCAAAGCAGGAGACCAATCGCAAGGCTCGATAGGCTCATCAATGGTAGCCGTAGCCTAAGCTGGGAAGCTGAGGTGGGCGTTCACCGCCCCGCCCGGTGCTAAGTTGATGGTTGATCGCGCTATACGGGTCAGCAGCGTATCCGCCCGGAACGCCTCCCGTGCCATACGCGTTGTAATCATACGAAGGTCTACTGTAGCCCGGTGTTGCTGCGCGACCATCTGCAAATGGATCCACGGTATACGCTGGGCTCATTCCGTACTTAGCCTCAATGTCTGCGAGTGGGTTGCTGCCTCTGCGATCGTATGAAGCCATGTTGGGCTGTCCCACACCGCCATGGCCCGCTGCAGCGACGCCGTATCGTCCATCGCCGCCGTCGCCGTATCTAGTCGTCTTCGCCGTCTCGTCAAATGCGTCTTCGTCATCAAGGTCGTTGATGGGCTCGAATGCCGAGTCTTCGTTAGGGTGGACAAAGGGTGGGATGCGGGGTCCATTCTTGCGTTCGAGTCTCCACTGTCGCAGGAAGAGCAGCAGCGATAGGAACCAAGTGACCCAGAGGAACCAGCAGAAGGCAGATTCGGCACGCTTGGTACGGCACCATCCGCCGAGCTGATTGACAAAGTCGGCACGGTCCTTTCCGCCCGCATGTGGGTCTTTCTTGGGGTCTTTGCACCCGGCCGAAGTGTATGCCGAGATGGTCTGGGTCATAGCGAGGATGAGAAGAAGGAAGCCAAATACGCCATTGCACACCATGCCTACGCGTGCTTCCGACAGCGCACGGGAGAAGCCCTTCATGTACTTGTACCCCGAGCGTTCGTAGATGATGGGCACCACGAGGAAGATGGCTGACGCAAACAAGCTTAAAGAAGCCAGGAAGAGGAGTAGACCAGTGAGACCAGATGGACTGCCCACCCATTTAGCCTGGAAGGTGGCCATGTATACGGCGATGAGCAGTGTCACGAGGGCGAAAAAGACTTGAAGCGCACGCAAGATCATATTGACCCTTGCGACACGGTCATCCTGTGCGTACGTGGCAGGTGGCCCTCCAGCTGCTGTGTTTCCGATGCCCTGCCCGTATGGCCCAGCCGAGTTCTGCTGGTCTGCTCCTCCTGAATCTAGCTTGCCCCACACCTTTTTGAGAGACATAAAGTCTGGCATGGTTGCGATGCGCTGGACCTTTGCTATTCTACGGTATGGAGATGGGATTGCCTATTGACGGTATGGATGTAGAAGGGGGGTGGCAGGTCCTATGCCAGCGGTTTGGTTCGTTCAGATGACGTTGTCGTTGCTGTGCCTGCTCGACTTGTAAAAGTGGAGTTGGCGCACGTAGGATGATGGGTGGTCCTAAGTAAGATGTATTTCGAGAGAGAGAGAATCGTAAGTATAGTAGGAGAACGCTGGTGGGACCACAAAAGTCAACGTGGATGATGGTGGGCAGCTGTCAAGAGAGGAAGGATGCTCAACCACGCATCCATCTCTTCATGCACCTCTCTGCAGAACCTCCACCAGAAAGCGGTGTGGCTGCATCCAACACCTTTGCTTTGCTTGCTCGAGCCAAGCACAGCCCAAGCTGTTGCCGAAAGGGGGTGTGCGACCCCTAGATGTTGATTAACTTGACGCGACCCTGCCCAAATTTAACTTTTCGTTTAACTTTTTGGTCGTGTCTTTTTGACCCCTGAATCAATTTTCCACACGCGCGCACAGAGACCAACACTTTCTTTTCAATTTTTATTTTTCGAAAATTTAAGAGATGTTACGTCGTCATCAGCACGATTCTCGATGCCCGAGTTCCGGCTCGATTTTCGTCTGACCTCATATTGTATTCCAAAGCTCTCTCTCAGGATCTTCTCGATGTAGCAATTCGACTCAAGACGACCCAGCATAATCAGCCGCAATGCATCCTGTAAGTTGCTAGCATGTGAATACGTCTGATCAGCTAGCATTCAAAGCCACCCAAATATAGCCTGATCGTCTGACCAGCAATTCGACCCTTCTCATGTGGTTTTGAAACAACAGCATCTCGTCGGAGAGAGCAAGCTGCAGCGTGAGTACCTGCGATGAGCCACTCTTTCTGCCGCATGGAAACTAATCTGACGACTTGTGTGCACTGAAACCTTGTTCACATCACGGCTATCCGACTCAACAGACTGCGCACACCTCATCCAAGCGCTCAACGAATGCCACGCCAAGGGTGTATGGCACAAGATCACCGGTGGTTGCAACGGCATCAAGCACGATCTCAACATGTGTCTCCGACAAGAGGTGAGCCCATCTGTTCCCAATCTCCTTCTTGCTCTTGCCTACTCTTTGTCCTGACTCGCTCTATCCTAATATCTCGTTTTGGTACGTCGCAGCGCGTGGAACGAACAGCAAACCACGTCAAAGAGTCTAGGGAGAACCGCAAGAAGACCGAAGAAGTATGGAAAAAGATTGACGAAGAGTCTTAAGCTTCCCTTATTCAGGAGTCAACATAGAATGTCCCTCGGAAAATTACACCACTCTACCCCTTTAGAACGTTCCTAGACGACTACTTGTACAACAGCTTTCTCCATTTGTAATAACAGCAGCAATACCTCAAGATTTGCAACGGACCTTCTACAGCCTTCTGCCTCCAGATGCAGTGGTAAGAATAAGGCCGACACGACTAGCAAGCTTTCGTCACGGACAAACGGTGTGCATAGAAACCAGATTTCGGTGTATGGCTGCATTCTACGTGTACGGAATCTAGCAAGGCCAACTACGACCGACACACAGAGACAACAGATCAAATGCGAAGGAAGAGAGAAAATTAGACACGCAAAGCGCACTGATTCAACGGATAGGACCGCCCATTGCGGGATCCTGCGCAGCCGACCTGCCGCCGTCGTCGAGCGCAAAGTTCTTCAAATCGTCCATTGAGACTACATCAAGCGCTCGCTGGTGGGTAGCTTCTAGCTTGACCTTTGGCACGCCTTCCTTGGGCAGCTCTCCTCGCTTAAAGGCGTCCAGGCTCTGCTTCCACCTCGACACGCAGAGGCACCAGGAGCAGCCTTCTGAGAGGATGGGGCGGAGATCATTGCCCTTGGATGCGGAATAGTCGAGCCATTTTTGGGAAACAACGGCAGCGACTGTGTGAGCGCCGCTGTCTGCTGGGCCCGTATTGCAGTACTGTTTCGTGAACACCCAATGGGCAAAGTGGAAAGAAAGATGAGGGTCGAGTCAGCAAAGGAGGTTCGGAAACATTCATCATATGTGATGCGAGAAAAACTGTTCGGTGCTGTACATACGCCATCTCTGTAGAAACCTGTCATAGGATTCGTCCCGCACTGCGCCAATGGGCGACCAAACACATTGAGCGGACGATCCATCCTGAATGGGTTATCCACTGTCGAATCCCAGCCTGACCCACCGCTTCCTCCTCGGCGGTCGGAAGCGTAACTAGCGTTGCGAGTTGTCGTCGTGTTGCCGTTAACAGCTCTTGCTGCTGCTGCTGCGTTGTTCGCGGCGACTTTGTGATGCGTAAACCTGAACGCCGTCGAAGCGCAAGGGAGGGTGGTGGTGAGTAGCAAGACCGAGAGTGAGGTTGCTGCTACAGATGCTCTTTTCGTACGGACCGACGCCAACATGGGTTTGTGACGAATCGATACGAGGTTAGGTGATGATGGTCAGTGGTCAAGACAGAGTTTGTGGTTACTGAAGAGGTACACATGCAACGAAAACAAAAAAAAAGCAAGAGACTAGCTTAAGCCTATTACGTGCCACATAGACTTGAAGAGGCGGCTGATGGCCCGCAAAGCAAGCCTCACTTACTCACCCTCTCAAACCTCGGTTATGGGTCCCGAATGCCTGGAAAGCCTTCAGTTGTTGTTTCAGACCTTCGCTGCTGCTGCTGCTAGCTGCACGATGCCAGACACTGGAGCCCGACGTTGTGTAACGAGGTGGAGGAACACTCAGCTATTGTGTTCAACTTTGCCTGGATTATATATGCATTAGAAGCGACACATGACGTAGTCTGTAGGCAAGATGGCCGAGTGGTTAAGGCGCAACGTTCAGGAACTCTCTGAAATTTCTTCCGTTGTCTTCGGGCGTGGGTTCGAATCCCACTCTTGTCACCAATTTGATTTTTTCTCCTCCTTTATTCGCTGTCAAGGGTTGATATTTGCTGGGTGGCCTTGAATGATTTTTTTGGACATCATCGCCATCGCTACTCAGAGGAAGTCTGTGAAGACATGCACGAGCTGAAAGAGGACGAGATGCGACATTCGGCACATGCGATAGCAACAAGGGCAGTGGCATTTGCAATATCACAAAGCACGACTTGATTGAGCAGCGAGGTGGCAATTCGAGTAGGACAGCGTGTGAGAACTAAGCCCAAGCACCAACGTCGCCCCAAGCGTCAGCTCCAGACCCAAATGCATCATCCTTCTTACCACCCTCACCCACGCTCGCCGCAGTTGGCACGAACGGCAGACTTGCTCTAGCCTTCTTCTTGCCTCCCTTATCTTCCTCGCCCGCTTTCCTCTTTTTGCCCTTCTCGCCTTCACCCTTACCCTTCGCCTGTTTGCGCAGATCCACGATCCCAGCCACACTAGTATTCACCACCACCTTCTCGCCCTTCTCCTCCTCACTCTTCTTCTTACTCTTCATCTGCGCAATAACCTTTGCATTCACAGGCGAGCTGTCGTCAAACGTATCCAACTCAGTCCGACCCTTGCTCTCCTTCTGTCGCGCTTTGGACAGGTTGGAAGTTGCATCTTCAAGCACACCCTCCGAGACCTCTGTGCGGCCAGAGGCAATCTTGGCGCGCTTCTTGGCCAATTCGTGGATGGGCGCCAGACGCAGTTTCTCGGCTGCTGCATCGACTTCTTCGAAGAATCCACCGCTTTTGTCGTTGCTGTGAGGTTTCTTTGAGGTGTCGGATGTGGGTTTGGAGTCGGGCTTGTTGACCTTCTTGCCGGAACGAGAGCCCCGTTTGTGCTTCGGTTTTGAGCGATCTCCGTCTTCCTCGGTGTTGATAGGTTTCTTGGATGATAGCTTGGGATCGCGCTTGGACTTCTGCTGCGATGCTGTCTTGTCGTTCTTGGTTTTGGGGGTGTCCTTCTTCTTGGAAGGAGGAGCAGCGCCGCGGCGAAGCGCACGCATTTCGGCCGCCATCTCTGCGGCTTCATCGTCATCATCGTCTTCGGAGCCTTCTTCGGGAATTTCCTGAGCGGTGGGGTTGCCTCGTCGCAGAGCACGCATCTCGGCCGCCATCTGGGCAGCTTCGTCGTCATCCTCTTCGTCGCTGTTTTCAGGCTCGACATTGCGTTGAGGGCCTCGCTGGGAACGGTCTTGCTTCTTGTTGTCTCTCTTAGCATTGCCCTTCTTGCCCTTGTCCGCTGCACTAGCCTGTTCCTCGTCTTCGTCCTTCTCAGCAGGCTTAACTCGCGGCTGCAGCCTCTCGTTGTCCAATACCCTCAACGTGGGGTGTACCTGCAAGATCTTCTCCTTGTAGCCTTCCTCTGCCGCTACACCGTTGCCTTTGAGCATCAGTTGGGTCAACCCTTTCCTCCTCAATCTCGGCTGTGATTCCCTCTCATCCTCTGCCTCCACGAGTGTCGACAGAGATTCCCAGGTATCCAGCCCGCAGTCCTTCAGCTCTAGCAGCTCCAATCCGGGCGCTGTCTTGCCATCTGCACCCTTACCCCAGTTCTTAACGTGCGCTGGCAGAGCTCCGAGCTGCGGATTGTCGTTCAAACGCACCTCTCGAAGAGCGAGACACAGCGAAAAGTCAGGCAAGCTTTCGCTACCTGTCAGCTTGTTGTGACCAAGCGAGAGCTTCTTGAGTGCTGGCAAAGAGGCAGGAAGCGAAGCTGGAAGAGAAACGATCTCGTTGTGCGAAAGGATGAGCGAGTTGAGCTCGGGCAGATGTGGGAAAGATTTAGGTAGGCTGGTGATGGCGTTGTTGTTGAGTACGAGTGCCTTGAGATTGCGCAGTGGATTGACCGAAGGTGGGATGGAGGTGAGCGCGCAATGAGAGACGGTGAGGACGCAAAGCTCTTCGAGGGCTTCTAGCCCAATGCAAGCGTCCGAGGTGAGATTGGCGTTGGAGGAGAGATTGAGCCAGGTGAGGTTGTCGCCAAAAGCGCGAGATTTGCCCTTACTGGACGCTTTGCTGCGGGAAACAGCTTTGGCGAGCCAGGTGAGAGTGTTGAGGCCGGAGGGAGCGGCCTCGGAAGGCTCGATGCTGGAAAGATCGAGGCGCTGCAGATATCGGAATTGGGACAGCGTGTCGACGAGAGCTGCAAGGGGAGGAAGCTCGTGTCCTGAGAGGGACAGAACCGTCTTTGAGCGAACATCCTCGTCGTCCTCCGACTCGGTGCCATCTTCGTCGTCCTCGTCTGCCTGTTCTGCTGTGGTTTGACTCTGGTCCACTTTGGCAGCTGATTGCGTCTTAGCCTGCTCGTTGCGAGGTGTCCCTAAGCGGGGTCCTTCAGTGATCTGCTTGTTGCCATGTCTCTGAGAAGCCCGAGAATCTTGTTGTAATCTACGACCCCACCCGCTACCAGAAGCAGTTGCATTATTGCCAACCTCGCTCTTGCCTTGAGCACGTTTCTTGTGGAAGGCCGAGCTCGTCGATGAGGCTGGGCCTGCAGAGCTGGATCCGCCAGCTGCAGCAGCGCGATTGCGCTCCGACTTGATTGGCCCTCTGTAGTTTCTAGGCGGTGGTGGTGCCATCTTTGTCGCCCTCCTTACAGGTAAAGTTGTGGGGGAGAGTAGGTGAAGACGATGCGAAGAAGAAGTACAAGGAAGGGTTTGACGTTGTTGTGGAGTTTTCGTGGAAACTTTTTCTGCCAAAAAAAAAAAAAAAAGCTCAAAAAAAAAAACACACACAATTTTGGATTGGAAATCCGGATTTCGGTCTCTGGTCGGCTAAACACACGAGCCATGCGTGTACTGTACAGTACGACACATGCTCCCGCCGGACAGCACAAAGATCAACACATCAACACATCAACACCCGCATGACTTACTCTGTTCCAGTTTCCAGCACCTGGGCGCAACAAAACGTTCGGCTTCTTCCCTCTGACGATCTTTAACAAACTTGAAGGAGTCCTGTCCAGGATCAGCGGGACGTTCTTAGCAAAGCACTCTGCCCAACCATCGATAGAGCTCGGTTCAGCACCACTTGCACAGCATGTCGTCCGACCCGGTGGGTGCGGCAATCGCGCTCGCTGGGGTGCCTGACGAACCGTCTTCCCTCCATTCCGATGCACTTCGCCCCTCAATAGACCTCGTGCCTGGCGAATCCTTACGACCAAAATCAAGCTCTGAAAGCATACCCTTGCCAGAGGAGGACGAAGACGAGGACGACTTTGTAGTTTTCGAGGACAGAAACACGCTCCCGGCGCCAAAGCTGGCAGAGGGAGAACTGGACGATCTAGAAGGAGCAGCAATGAGCCGTGGCAGAGAGTCGAACAAGTCGACGCTTGGCGCGATTGCAAGGGCCAGTGTCGAGAGTCTGTCATTTGGATATCGAGATCATTTGCTACCGCTCAGTCTGAGCGGGGATGGAGATGAGACGTTTGCAGGAGACTATGGAGAGAGGGAAGGCGCGGTGTCTGCAGCAGGGAGAGGGACTGGGTCGACATCAAGAGGTGCAAGACGTCACACAAGAGGCTACTCACGCGACCGATTGGCCGAGAGAAGAGTGACGCTGTTGGACGGTATCGCGCTCACCGTTGGCGTGCAGATTGGGTCAGGAATCTTTTCCTCTCCGGGAGTGGTGACGCTCAACACTGGCAGCATTGGAGCATCGATTGTCATCTGGCTTCTGTCAGGGCTGCTTGCCTGGACAGGTGCATCTTCGTTTGCCGAACTCGGTGCGTCTATACCGTTGAATGGCGGCTCGCAAGCTTACCTCAACTACTCATTCGGTCCCCTGTCTGCATTCCTTTACACCTGGTCGGCACTGACCGCACTCAAGCCAGGAGCAGGTGCGATCATTGCAACCATCTTTGGCGAGTACGTTGCGCGCATCATCTTTCACGCAACGGGCAAAGCCACAGACCACCCACACGAGACGGGGTTGGACGGCATCCCAAATTGGTCCATCAAACTTCTCGCTGTGGGCATCGTGGCGCTGATCACTGCTGCACATGCATTTTCGAACAAGCTCGGCACTCGCACACAGATCGCAACCACCATCGTCAAGCTTCTTGCCCTCACCGCCGTGCCCATCTTGGCGATTGTCCAAGCAGCGAGGGGAAAGTCGAGCCCAAGCTCGTTGAAAGCTTTCTCGAGCATCGGCAATCTGTTCGAAGGCAGTTCCACCTCCCCTTCATCCTATGCACTTGCTTTGTATAGTGGACTTTGGGCTTTCGACGGTTGGGACCAGAGCTGTTTCGTAGCAGGGGAGATGAAGAGAGTGGAAAAAGACCTGCCAAAAGTGATTCATTTCAGTATGGGCACTGTGATCTTCATGTTTCTCTCTGCGGTGGTGGCGTATTTCCAAGTGCTACCTGTGGAGCTTGTCAAGCGGACCAATACGGTAGCGCTCGATTTTGGTAGTGCCATCTTTGGCACTGTGGGTGGGATTGTATTTGCCTTCCTCGTCGCTTTCTCCTGCTTTGGCGCGTTAAATGGGCAAATCTACACGACAGCGAGACTCATCCTTGCCGCTTCTAGGGAAGGATATCTCCCAGAACGACTTGGTGAGGTCAACCGCAAGACAGGGACTCCCGTCGCAGCACTCTTGCTCCAACTTGTGCTCGTGTCCGCATTCATTCTGCTTGGATCTGGTTTCGCCTCGTTGGTCAACTTCTACGGCGTTTGCAGCTGGACGTTCTACCTAGCCTCCGTCCTTGGCTTGCTAGTTCTACGCATTAAGGAACCCAACTTGAACAGGCCGTACAAGACCATGTTGGGTACACCGATCCTCTTTGCCGCAGTGGCCCTTTTCTTGCTTCTGATGCCGATTGGAAGTGCACCGTTGGAAGGCCTCGCAGCACTGCTATTCATCGCTGCTGGTGTTCCCGTCTACTACTTGACGCAGAGTAGGGCTGGGTGGGTGTCGAATATTCCCTTCTTGTCGAGGTGGAAGAGCATGTTCGCAGGCAGAGCGGCAGGTGCA